GTGGGTGGCGGGGGGGTGGGGCGACTCCTCCCCCACCACCAATCAATCAATCAATCAATCAAACCCCTTTTTTTTTTTTTTTAAATTTTGCATCTGCATTTTTTCAAAACACCTCATACTTCTGCAAAAAACATAAATTCATTTCAAAAAAATTACAGGTAAACTCACGGACCATATATCTCATGATAAAAAATGACCAAAAAAAATTCCTGTTTTCTTTATATATATATTTTTAATTTTCTTTAAATCCAATTTCGTTTTTGATTTTTTTAAAATCATAAACAAAGTCGGATTTTTAAAAACAAATATGGGGTTGTAGGGCTTAAAATTCCCTACAACCCCATATATTTTTATTTTTTTTTTACCTATTATTTAATTCAGGAAAATTCGTGTAAAATCAGGTCCGCGGTGCGGACCAGGTAGGCCGCGGATGCGGACGCATTTGGGTCCGCGATCCGAGCTCGACCCCGCGGACGCGTCCGCGGGTGTTACATAGCCCGTACGCGCCCTAGCCGCTAACGCAGCCTGCAGCCTACTCGCCTCGTTACTGAAGACCATCGATCTCCCTCTTACCCCCCAGCGCCCTGCAGCCCGGCCATGGCTGCTTGCGCTCCGCTGCCCAGCAGCGCCCCTCTTCACCTCACAAACGCCGGTATGCGCCCTGACGGCTAACGCAGCAACGCAGCAGTGTGACCGCAATGCCTGCGTGGGCCAGCATAACCGACCCTGGCTGCCTCTCTTCCTATATGGAAGTAGCAGGGCGTTTTGCGTTTTTCAACTGTTCCTGGTAGCCTGTTGCTCTCGGTGCACGTATCTACTGTCTAAAGCAGTCTCTATGCATCGAGGGGCATGCCTCTGGGGGCAAGCAGCCCCCAACCAGTTACTGGCGCCTGTCATCACGGACTGCCAGCAAAATAAGTGGAGATACGTGCCCAGAAGAGAAAGGCACCTGTTTTCACGGGGATGCCAGCCTTTCTGAAAGTAGGACCATTGTTTTGCTGTTTTTTTTTTCATGAATCTTTAACCGTTTTGGGGTAGATACAGGCGCATTCCTTTGAGGGTACACTCAGGGTGAGATCCCATTGGCAAAGAGGATTGTGGTAAGTGTCTGAATGTGGACGTGTTTGTGGACAGGTGCAAAAGTTTGTGATTGGTCTAGTTTTCTACACCTCTGCGTGGAACACGTCCAGATTCAGACACTTCTTCCAATCTTCTTTGGCAGTGGGATCTGGCCCTCAAACCATGGCCTGACTGGGATGTATCCTATTAGCCTATTGCTATTGCCGCCAACCTCAGCGGAAAATGACAGAGTTCCCTTTTTTTTTTTCTTTTTTTTTTCCTCTTCTTCATAGTTGCTGTATGAAGCCTGTATCTCTTTGAAACCACATGTATCTGGTGCTCGAATTCGGCCAGATACACGGGCTGGCCTTGTGGAGGGTGCTCGAATTCGGCCAGATACACGGGCTGGCTTTGTGAAGGGTTTGGCTCCGGTGGGACATGAGTGAAATAGACAGCCTTCCAGTGTCAAACTACAGTGGCGGGTACTGGTGCCACCGTTTATTTTCCAAGCAGCGGTACCGATCTCTTTTAGGCTCGGCAAAATTCAAATTTAGGCTCGTACATTTAGCCTCAGGTGTACTGGTGGTTTAACGGTGATGGCATTGAGGCCCCTATAATCAATACACA